ATATTATTCTGCAGCCTGGTCGCAAGCTGCGCAATCCCCTCGCTCCTACTCTGCTTTCCACATCCCCATTCTCCGATGCCCCGAATTTTCTCGATACATATTTCTTCATAATCATTGCTTCTACCTCCGGGCAAGTGTTTTTATTATTATACCTTCGGATTCGTCGTTTTCTTCTACGACTATTACTTTGTCACAGTCGCTAGTCGCTATGACGCTGCAGCAACTATTACTGCTCAATGTCTTTTTTTTTTATTCAGAGTAAAAAATAAACCTTGTGAAAAGGCATTTTCGGATTTTATGTTTTGATGTTACTGGTGTTACATTCTTATATGCCGCAGGCATCTTCCACTTTCGTGGACCCATCCTAAGTGAATGAAAGTAAAAACTAACGCGCACAGCTGCGTACCATCCTTTAGCGCATCGGCTACATGCTGAGCAGTTTCGAAAGTGGATGGATCGTTTTCGAACTGAACGTTGGTAACTTGTTCGATCCAGAACAATACCTCTTGAGCTTCTTCGATACTAAATCGAGCTTGATTCTAGAATTTTCGAACATTTAACTTACGATTAAGCTTTTACACTGATCTCCTTTTATCCAGCAGAACATGTGTTTTTACGCTCTGATCTAGAACACCTTTTTGTTAGCTGCATGATTTTTTTTCTGCTAGCTTGCGAAGAACACACAAGTTGAAATTTTTACTTACTTTGAATTTTTGACGTCTTTAGTATCTCATTTGAATTTGACAAGATTGGAGCAAAATTGAATAATTTCTGCGCATTCTTCCAGAATTTGATTTGTTTCTGATTATCATTATCTACTAACGAACAAATTTTCTGAGGAAACACTCTTAAAATATGGCCTTCTAGCTTTACTTTTAAGCGCTCTTGAAGTGCAGTGTTATTGCGCTATAATAACTGCAAAAATGCAAATTATGACGACTTCATACAGGTATGTGTGTGTGCTCGTCTGCATGTGTGCTCGTCTGCCCAAGTACTTTAATTAGGCGACCAAGCAAGCTTAGATGCTGAAATTTTGTCGATGTATTTTCTCGCCAAATATGATCCAGAAACGTAACGTTAGCTTTCATATACACTTCAGCCTCATATAAGGAAAAGTGAGAATTTTGACGGTAAAGTTGCCAAACTGGAAACGAGAAAAGTTAGGAAGCTAAAATTTAATCAACATACTACTAATTTAAACAAATTGTTGCACCTAAATAGTTATGAATTTGACGAACAAGACATGCAGCACGCAGCACAGTCGAAAGTATCCAGTTTTTTAAATGGTACTAAAACTCGTCGGAATTCAACTGATACAAAAACTTCCACAGTTTCGAATTTAGTTAACCAATTCTTCTTCCCTCTAGTTTAGAAAAGGTACCAAAAGTAGCAAATAAGAAACTCTTTGGGCAGTCGGTACAGGCAATCTGTGCAATGATGTTACTTGATTTTTCCACATACCGAACGCAGCTGCGTCAAACCCCTCAATTCCGGACTGAGTATTTCCATTTACTAGCCATCGCCAGTTCAGTATATATGCGCCACTTCTTCGGAGCTTCTCCAAGGTGATTACTTAGTTTCTTCAAGATATCGCTCATTAGAGTGGTATCTTCAAGAAAGTAAACGATCACAACTATCAGATATTGCATATTGCTTGTCCAGCGGTTATTCCGCAAAATGAGCAACAAGCATTTTTCTTCCGTCAGTCATCAGCAGTGATCACGTTTCCTCCCGTCAATCGTCAGCAGTGATCACGTTTCACATCCGTATGTCATTGCCTTTAGCACAATGAATAGGTGGATATAATTCTCGCCATTTAACACTTTTAGAATATCAGCTGTGCTATGGAATTTCGTTAGTCAGCAACCCCCTTCCCCTCCCCCCGCTGGAAGTTTTGGCCTGTATTTATTTCCTATCTAAAACAGATGTAGCTGTTAACTTCTTCCAGATCAATACCGTTGGTTTGCAGCTTTACTGAGGCATACCGGCACTTTACAGTAACTTCCACTTCAATGCTTAAATTTTCTGGATTAATTCCTCAATTCGTGTGTTAAGCTCCTGCAGCATCCGTTTATTT